TTCACCTGTTGAAATAGTCACTTTGTAAGCTAAATAATGTGATTGAATGTATAAAAGAACATAAAATAAAAAATAAAAAATTCAAAAAATAAAGCACACACACACAAAACTAAACTTACAGCTACCCTGTGACCCAGAAGCTATTTGCTACAATGTTTCCAGAGTAATGAGAAGCATTACTATTACACATAGACATACACCATGTACAAAACCCGTTACTGTGGCTTTTTCATAATTGTCCAAAATTTAAATCATTGATATGGTTGACTTTGTGAATGCTCTGCCTGGATAGTGTATTCACACCTTGCAAGATTACTCAGCAGGTAAAAATTGACAAATTACACGACTATTTGAATGACTCTCCAGAAAATGATGTGAGTTGGAAACCCCAATCACAAAATATTAGGTAATTTGTGATCCCATCTATATAACATCCTTGGAATGACACATTTATGGAAGGAGGAGAGAAACTTGTGTTTGCAGATAATGATGTCCATACTGGCGAGCAGAAGGAAAGTGAGATGTTACAGGACAGCAGGAGATAAATTGTGTGATTAAAAGCATTCGTAGTTTTACTAAGTCAATAGGGAAATAAACCTACATATAGAACAAAATATCAAAAAATAAACACACACATACAGAAACATATGCAAGAAAGTACTAATAAAACTGGTAAGATGCATATAGATGGGTAGATTAATTATATTCTTGTCAACATTGCAGTTATGATATTTTCATGTATTTGTGCTTTACTTTAGATTTATACAAGAAAATCACAAACAAGGGAAAGCACAGCTCTTTGGCAGCCCTTCCCACAAGGCCAGCTCTGAGGTTGCACTTTCTCTGACTTGTCTGAAACCTTGAAATAACCCTTTGTGTTTGGTCTTCTTTCAAATCAGTTTTCACAGGACAAAACTGAGGCCCTTAAAGGTGAAGTGACCTTTCTAACACATAGCTAGGAAGTGGTCAAGGTGGCACTTTACCATGTGAGAGGGAGCACTTAACTTTGGAACAGTAGACCCAGGGTTTGTTGGGAGGTGGGGAACTTTGGGTAGATGCACAGGAAGTAGGTAATGTAGAAGGGGTTGCCCTTCTGGAAGGCTCCAGGTGCTCTTCTAGGTTCCCACATATACCTATCCTAAAGGTCTCCACCTGCACGTCATCCAGAATTTGAGCTGAACTTCCCCACTGGGGTAAGACAGTGGAAGGATAGTTAACTCATTATGATCCTAGTCACATGCAAACACTGGTACCCATAACATAAAGTGAAAACAAAATACATAGTATTTTCACACATATTCCTATGGACAAAAAAAAAAAAAAAACATGAAAACTGATTTAGCATCTGGTCAAGGATAAGCTGAATGGTGGGATGAAGGAGGGGAGGAGGTTCAGACTCCTTGGGGTAGGTCCTGTAAGTCACTGAAAGAGGAGAGCCCGGGGAGGAGCCCTGATAATCTACAGCGAAGTAACTGAGCAGAAGCCTCCCCAGATATCTCCAGACTCAGTTTGGGAAGACTCCTCCATTCTGCTAGACCCCTTTGTCAGATGCATGGGTAACTGTTACTCATCCAGACAAAAAGAGGAGGGTTCCCCCTTGACCATGCCAGTCTCCTGGAGCTGTCAGCAAATGGCAATTAGGCCAGGAAGCACCAGAACCCTGCCTACTGTTGTCACTCTGTCCCATGTGACCTGATTCTAAATTAGGCACATAGCAGTATCCACACAGATGACAGTCCTGGGATGAAAGCAGATGACAGTCCAGAGCTCAGGGTACATATGAACCCTGCTCCAACCCTCCCCCTGCCATTCTGCCAGCCATGACCTAGGGTATGTACCCAATAAACACACCAGACCTCTAACCTCCTAACAACTTACTCTTGCCCAGAGAATGTTCACCCACATGTCCTCACATTCTCCCCAATCACAGAGAGGAGTGAGGGATATTTTAGCCAGGACCAGGATGGTGGCCAACCCTAAAGGGCTCCATGTTATCTTTGCATTCTTTCTCACAACTAATCAGGAGATTTAGGGGGAAGGGCTGAGCAAACATCTTAAGAATCAGGAAAGGTTCTCACTCTGGAGTTTTCTAAACCCAAATCCTTGGAAGTGGAGATTAAGCAAAACATCTGGCTCTCAAGACTCCAGTTAAGGGAGGTGAGTAGGGGTTGTTTCTGGAATGTGGGTGACTACTTATCAGGGTTCCAAGTTCTGTTGGGGCCTACTGTCAATGAACTGAGGTCACTTCCTGTGGTCCTTTTTTTCCTGGGCTCCTCAGATCATATCTCCCCAAGGTCCCCACCAAGCTGTTGACTGTTCACCCTCATCCCATTCTGCATCCACAAATGAACACAGTTATACCACACAGTCCACCTGCAGACATGGGGAAAGCTCCCAGCTCTGCAGAACAAGAACTGGGCTCAGTGCTGCATCCTCCTTGTTTTCAGGGCTGTGACCTGGACAAGCCATTTTGCCTTTCAAGACCTCCCCTATCTACCCACTTGCATAATGAAGATCTAGCCTCTTCTTTTAGGGATGCCACAAGGTATATGTACCTCTAATGCCTACATAATCCATGGGCTGGTACCACCTGTGGTAAATTCACAAACTTAAAGATGGGAGTATTACACATAGTGTGGGATGTAGCATAAAATACAACTTCAAAAAGCCTGAATTCTGGTCTGCAATATGAAAAGTCATTTTTCATTTTTTCCTCTTGACCTTACTTCCTAGTCTACGCCATAGGAAAGATGGAATTAACTAAAATTCAGATACTGACTCTCTGACATAAAACCTATCAGTGTTTTTTCATTATATTTAGACTTAGAGGGGCCAACAGCTGGCATGTTGGTTAAAATGCTGCTCTCACAATTGGCCAATTGTGGTTTGAGTCCTGGAACTGGAAGCTTGTTTTATCACTCCACTCTCGTCCCCTTGTCTTTCTGGTCAAACCGAATAATAATAATAAACAAAATTGAGTAAATAATTCTTTAGAATTACAGCCTAGTGCCTCATGCTGGCCTATGGAATTATGGTATTTTAGAAAACCCCATATTTGATCCAAGTGATTCCTGCTTCCTGGTACACAGATACTAGTGTAATGACCTCCTCTCTGGGTTGAACTGCATTTAGTTATTGACTTGTAGACCAAAAATAAATAAATAAATAAATAAATAAATAAAAAGAAAAAATATAAAATAATAAAAGGTAATGGTCCTACCAAGAATATGTTATGTTTGTGATTTCTGTCTGGCTCCATTCCTTCTGTGTTTATTCTGTCTATCTCATCTTTCAATCTTGAGTATTGAGCTCAAAATTTCACTTACTTTATGGTAAGTCTCCACTGGCAAAGAATTAACAGAAGGCCCAAGCCAATAAACAAGAATTTAGACATCATTCTAAACTGAAACCTGCTAATAACTCATGATTTCAGAAACTGATTCTGCTTTAGGAGGGCCTCAGCTGAGACCACAGCCTCATCCTCCTGAAAGACCTGGAGGCAAAAGCAATGAGCTCAGCTGGGCCTGGGTTCTGGTCCACACTGCCAGATAATACAAGTACAGTTCACACAAGGCCTCACTCTAGCCAGACACTGGATGAATGGTTCCATGTTCTCCCACATTCTGCACTACCTCATGCAATACCCAGGACCCAAGGCTGCTCTCTATTCTGAGAAACCCCCAGCAGAAAACATTTGCAAAGATCTCAGCGCAAACTGGGTCACCAGTAGATAACCAAGTCCCACAGTCAGTTCTCTGAACCTGTGCAATTCTTCAGGTAACTCAGTCAATGCATCCCTGTCTTGATCCATTTTCTGCTTTTATATCTGAATACCAACTGGGAAATTTATTTAAAAAGGGATTTATTTAGCTAACATTTCTGGAGGCTGAGAAGTCCAACACCAATGTGCCAGCATCAGGTGAGGACCTTACTGCTGTCATAACATGGTGAGAAGCATCTCATAGCAAAAGGGCAAGCATGTGTCAGTTCAGGTTCTCTCCTTCCTAGAAAACCACCAGTCCCACTGTGAGGCTCTCACCCAGATAACTGCATCTAATTCTAGTTATGTCCCAGAGGTCCACCTCCCATTACTGTAAGCATATGAATTTGGAGTTAAATTTCCCACATATAAAGCCTTGGACACACATTCAAACTACAGAAATCTTACTTTGGAGGAGGCATCTGAGTTCTCCTCTCCTGTGACCCATTTTCACTGGGGAAGGAAGCTCATTCTAGTGTCTAGTGCCCAGAAAGGTGGATGCAGGTCCATGCTTTGAGGTTTCCCTAGGGAATTCTGGCTTAGGAAGATCAGAGAACCTTGGAAACCCACAACCATCAACCTGGCAGTTTTACACTTCTCCATGTTT